CGAACCTGCCATAATTTGACGGTATTGGAAGACAGAGATATACTGTGACTGATGACTGGCAGGTATGACTGGCAGCTCCAAGCCAGGCTTTTCATCATGTCAGAGCCCCTGCAGGAAGCAGGCAACAAAATCAACAATCCCTTTTACAAGTACAGTACTTTATCTTTCAAAAGGATCTCTCAAAGTAGCTTACAAGACTGTACAATGACTGAATGAAACAGCTAGCAATACCTAGCAAGTAACTGAAAACCAAATAAGGGAAAAAAGTGATTCTTATGGATTTGATTGAAGAGAATGGAGTTCTCTTTGGGCATGCCAACTGGAGAAGAAGCTGTTAAATAGTCAAGACATGTGGCCACTGTGGGATGTTTGTTTAATAATCATTTTCATTGAAATGTTAGTTAGTTTCTTTAAAATAACAGTAGGAGATACTGTTTACTAGAAACAGTTCAGAGACACGTAGAAGGGAAACTTACAACAGTTTTTTTTAAGCTAAGAGAAAGAATATAAAGTAAATGAATCACTTAGAAATTTTTATCACCATTCTCAATTTGTGTTTCTGGAACAGTGAGCTTAGAGTTTCTAAGGATAGCAAATAAAACAAAAGAAAACAAAATATTGCCTATGCCTTTATTTACATTTTGGAGATGAAAGCAATATGGTTAAAGGGTATCTATTAAACTAAGGACTCAACTTATTTAGTATTTAGTAATTGGACATTTTATTTATCTATTGATAAAATAGACTTCTGTTTACATTGTCCTAATTGAGCAACTTAAATTCAAAACTCTCTAAAAGAGCAAAATAATGGCTCAGCCCTTAGATTTTTTTAATACTTGCTTTAGTACACAATTTCTCAATCTAGATACTATTGACATCGTGAGACAAATAAATATTGGGGCATGGGGGAGTCAGAGACTTTCCTGTACAATGTACAAAATTTAGCAAAATCTCCGGTCCTCTGTTAGATGCCAGGTTCCAGATCATGACAATAAAACCTCTCACCAGGTATGGTGAAATAGCTCTCTTCTAGGGGGAAGAAAGGAGAGCACAAAATTTTCCTCTGTTGAGAACTACTGTTTTAGAATCCTAGATCAGTTCTGTTGAGCTACTTCTTCTGACATCCCAGTTGGAAGAGTTGCTGCTGACTTTCCCAAGTCTTTAATATGGCCAATTTTACCAGTACATTTAACTTAACACACCATTTTGTGATAGCCAACATCCTAGCATGCTGCCTCACATGAGGTCTGTCTGACATAAGGTCTGTGAAGGCAGACTCCAACATGTCTAGTCTTGATTATGGATTCCCCAAGGTTAGCACACGGCTTGGCACATAGGACTTAGGCAACAAACAATATTTACATATTACTGAATTAATCACCTTCTTTGCTAAATATAATGACCTCTAATACACAAATTAAGAACACAGAATGAACAAAATAGTTTGTAAATGTAGAATATATTTGTTTTTTAGAGAAATAGCTCAAGGCTCTGATAAGCAACACAGCAACTAAAAGGTAATGCATGGTTATGTAAAGGCTGAGTCTAATGGGTAAATTTATCATCTCTGTTTCCTAAGCATAAACATCATATTATCCTCCTGAGGCAAGGAGGTATTAACTCAGGCCTCCGAAATTAAATAATTTCAATAAAAATAGATTGGTCATACTCATGCTATTAGAGAATGTAGGAGTACACTGTTATAGGCATATTAACCTGTTTTATAGTGAAACTCACAGCATCACTGTGGGGCCATTCAAATCATTTTATCAAGATTATAAAACATAGTCCAGAGGGAAGTGTTATCAGTTTAATGTAAGCTTGCAAATAAAAATTATAGAACTATATGTCTTCTGTGAGGTCTTAATCTCTTTGTTTCATTTGGGGGATAAGAAAAAAGGTATGAATATTTCATATTTTCTCATGTAAAATTGTAAAATTCAGCTATACAATAGAATGCTTTATTTTGAAATTGTACTTCTAGTACAAAAGCTAATGGTTATGAACTCTCTGTTTTCCCTCAGACCTATTTTCCTGTTTCTGACTTGAATGAAATCTTCAAGATAAAAGAAAAGAATGTTTTCTGTCTTTTGATGATAAGTGAAAAAGATTTCTCTTCGACAATGTATACTTTCGTGGATTACCCTTCTTTATCCTGGCTTGACTTTGCTAGTAAATTCATGCTCTTTAGTCTTTTCTTCCTCCTAATAGTTATTTAGGGGTATGTGGCTAAACATATCATTAAAACAATATTGTTCTCGTATAATATTTGTGGACTAACTCTTTATATTTTAATTTTCCTTACCTTTAGATATTTCAAAAGTAATTTAAAAAACTGCCTTAGAATGGCAAAAATAACCAAACACATTTCAAAAACAATTTTGTTTAGCAATAAATAATTCACTGATTTTTCTCTTAATTCTTACTTAGAGTTTTAGAGTTACGTACAGTTAACTCTAAAAATCCTGTTTATGCCATTTTGTATCTAAGATAATTTTAGGTGGTTGTTTTCCTATTTATTATTCCATATGTTCCCTGGTATTTTTTTCTCAAGAGATAATCTGTGAACTGTTACAGAGTAATGTTGTTTTGTATAAAGATCTACTAAATATAGTCCTTGTCTTCTGGGTGGTTGTAGCTACCAGTATATTTCATGATAAAAGTATAAATGTAACAGCTTGTATTTATTAAACATCCAAATGTGCCAGACACTTCTGTGAATATTTGATATATGTTAACACACTTAGAAAATGTTGTAGGCACTGCAGTGTTATATTTCTCCTACACTACTAGGCTAGTATTATTTATAATGATCATACATCATTTGGGTTGGTCCAGCCTGAAAGTTTTAGCCACTTTGGTTTGTAATGGATCCTCATAACTTCATAAGACCAGCAATTAAATGCCAGTAGCTGGCTTTTCATCCATAGTCTAATACATTAATAGTGCTATCATCTCTACAGGTCTATAAGGAATGAAGTAAGGTTAGGGATTAATACTTATCTAGAATATTTAATGTCTAGCTGTTTTTTCATGTGTATTTTATATGTGTATTGTATATGCCAAGCAGAAATAGTAATGCTATGTGTAAAGTGACAGTGACTAGAACACATAAATAAAAACTGTGTATAAGCAAATCAATTCTAGAAAAAAAAAAAACAAATGTAGGAAACACGAAACAACTATAGGAAGTAAAAATGCTATAGAAACCCAAGGAGGGAGAAATGTCATACAAAAGTCAGGAGACATTTCACAGAGGTGGTGATATGGAGATAGACATAAAAATATAAGTGGGACATCACTACGTGAGAAGGAAGCATGAAGACATCATGTGAATAAAATCATAGGAATGTGAGAATTCAGGTCCAGATTTTGTGAAGTAAAGTAAAAGTTGTACAGAAACAGTTAAAAGATATAATGCCCTAAAATATATAGGATTCTTAGGGCACCTGGTTGGCTCAGTCGGTTAAGTACCCGGCTCTTGTTTTCATCTCAGGTCATGACCTCATAGTCGGTAGGTTCGAAGCCCACATTGGTCCCTAGGCTGACAGCCCAGAGCCTGCTTGGGATTCTCTCTCTTCCTCTTCCTATGCCCCTCCCCTGCTCGTTCTCTCTGTCTCTCTCTCAAAATAAATAAACTTTAAAAATATTTTCAAAATAAATGATAAAATATACTGGATTCTTACTATAAAAGACCTTTTGAATTTTACCTCATCAATAATGGGAAGTTATGCAAAACTTCAAACAAAGAAAATGAAATTATCATATTGGTGTTTTAGAAAGATACAATTAGTAGTGAGTTTTCCTGGAAATCAACTAGGTTGGAAAAGACAAAGAAGGGTTACCATTAGCAGGTAAAATGAACATTTGTTACTGGTCTATCCAATATTCCCTGCTTCTCCTTCTTGTTAGTGCACCTCTGTAGCTCTGAAGAACTACCTCTCCCCTGCTAGAAAACGCACAGGCAGTTTGTATGTAATACATCCATGCCTGACTCCACCAGTGGGCTCTGACTAGTGTTAAGTTTCACATCCCTTTAGGCAGCAGTGTTGTGAGGAAGGGCTAAGTTCCAGGCCTCAGCCAGTAAGTTCATGGCACTATCTCAGTGATCGTTGTTCCTTGTGGTCAAATTAAAAGAAACTTGGGACTTTTGTATAATTAGTGTGTGAAGCAGAGTTCTTTTTCTTTCTATTGATGTGAAAGAGGAAATGTGCAATCCTTCAGCCAGAGTACATAGATGAGCTCAATACTGTGAGAACTGCAGAGAAACTGAGTCAAAGTCCTCATCAGTCTGTATCTGAAGCTCAAAATTATATGAACCAATTGTAAATAATTATATTACATTGAATAGAGAAAAAATCTGTTGTAATAACACTGAAATAACTATCATAGACAAGATACACCAATAGTGTGCTACTTCACAATTCCATTTGGAGATTTAAAATACTGGGCCACCCTGCTGTCTTGAGTTTTTGAATAAATAAAGATATATATACCATCTTGTTATATAAAATAATTTTACTGCACTTTTAGTGATTAATTACAACTGAATAAGGAAAGTATACAGCACAGAACCTTCTTAAAGTGATAGAAATTCACTGGAAGATCCATAAATATTCATGTAACATACATGACAAACACAAACACATGGGCACACACATGGATTAAAGCCCAGGGACACCTTAAGTCTGTTTGCATATTGTCTCTATGCTCCATTGTTCTAATATGCTACCACTGATGGCCTTGGCTGTGCATAAGATTTATTCTTTCTATTCAAATCTAATTTCCCAGTGAGACTTTCTGAAGTTTTTAAAACCCCAGCATTTATTAATTTTAGTTCAAAATATTTAAAGACGACCCACTGTACATTGGCTTCTAGCTACAGAAAGTAATTTTAAGAGGAGACAGATCCGATCCAAAGACGAACAAAAGACAAAAATTAGTGACAATTTAGAAAGAATGAGGCGCTGTTACAGATAAGATGTGTAACTAAAACATACCTGTGATTCCTTCCCTTGAACCCAAGCTCAGAATGCCACAGGTGGGAGAAGTAGTTCCATAGCTTTCAGAAGTTAACTCAGAAAACCTAAGAAAACCTGCAGAAGCAAGAAGACAACCGAATCCTGGTGTGAATTGCATGAAGAACCTAAAATGAGTGTGCACCAGAGCCACAGTTAGGGGAACCCTTCAGGGAAGAAGTTCTCCCAGCATTTTTCTCGGTGCACGGTAGATGGCTTAGTTTCTTCTGCATAAGAAATCAACAGGGTCGGGGCGCCGGGTGGCTTAGTCGGTTAAGCGTCTGACTTTCGCCTAGGTCATGATCTCGCGGTTCATGGGTTCGGGCCCCGCGTCGGGCTCTGTGCTGACTGCCAGCTCCGAGCCTGGAGCCTGTTTCAGTCTGTGACTCCCTCTCTCTCTGACCCTCCCCTGCTCACCCTGTCTCTCTCTCTCTCTCTCTCCTAGAAATAAATAAAACACATTAAAAAAAAAAGAAATCAACAGGGTCTACATGATGTCATGGGCACCATGAATCAGGGAAGTGCTGGGGGCAGACACAAATGTTAACTTTATAAAGATCTGTCTGTCCTCCATAATTTTCTTTGCCTCTACTTACCAGGCCTAGGCTAGGTAAATCAAGAGAAAGTGCACAGCCACTGAGAAAGTGCAAAAACTCTAGTGAAATTAATAAGTGTTTCCCCAATGAGCAGACTTCTCTGAGAGAGGGCACCAATTATTGGTGGTTAAGTACAAATAACAACAGTACACACTATTCACACAAAAACGAACTCTGTCAGCACAATGGAAAGAAAAACAACAACAGCAACTAATAAACTTTCTGTGATGGGAAAGTAAAATCATGCCAAGGAACACTTAGTGTTGGTGAGGAGTTAGGAAGACAAGCAAATTCATGCACTTCTGATGGGACTGTAAACGACTGGAGCAATTTTGAGGGGAAGAGTCTGGAATTTGTGAAATTAAGTCTACATTTATCTTGGAAAGTAGCATCTTACTCATGATTTGTTTTCAAATAGTTCACAGTGGACAAATGCACAGGATACTGATTACAATATCTTTTGTTGCAGTACACACACATACACAGGCTATGTATGTGTGTGTGTGTGTGTGTGTGTGTATCAATGCATTCAATTTTTTTTAGTGTAGGAGTCCTAGGTTACTGATACCCATATAGAGAAATTGAAATATATATATATATATTGGATGTATACAAAGTAATGCCTAGATTTACATATGAGACCATTGATATATCTTAAAAGTTATATTCAAAGAAAAAAGTAAAATTCAAGGGATGAATAGCACAATGCCACTTCTATAAATTAACAACACACAAACACCATCCTATGTAATTTTTAAAGAATTTATTGAGGTTGAATTGGCAGACATGCATTATTCTTTAAATTGTTTAATTTTTTTTTAACTTTTGAGAGAGAGAGGAAAGAGAGAGAGAGAGAGAGAGAGCGCAGGGGATGGCCAGAGAGAGAATCTCAAGCAGACTCCGTGGTGTCAGTGTCAGTGTAGAGCCCAGGAACTCATGATCTATGAGAATATGACCTGAGCCGAAATCAAGAGTTGGATGCTTAACAGATTGAGCCACCCAGGTGCCCCAGGACACACATTATATATATAGAAATGGACACCTATAAGTGGGAAAAGTCTCAAAGTTGGGATGGATAGAAGATAGTGAAAACAAAATATCAAGTATCAAGCATGATTTAGCAACTGTGTGCACATTGACCAAAAGACTAAAACTGAAGTTAAAACCAAAATCAAAACCAAATTTAAAGCTGAAATCCAAAAACTGTGGCACCTTAGAAGAAAAGAATAACTTAATGGACTCATGGCTGAGAGAAAGGTTTACTTAATTTTTGGACCTTCTTTTGAATGAGTAGGAAAGGTGTGTATCACTTTACTAAAACAGAGAACTATTATTTGCTAAGAGATAGAGTCATAGAGACTATGTTAGCTAAAGACCAGCTAGATGTTTAGTGAAGGCAATCTTGAAATGCAGAGGTCTAATGCTGACCACTGGCATTAGCACAGATTGCACGCTTAATGGCATGGTCCCAGGAGACTTCTTTCCCTTTACACAAGTCATAGTCTTATGGATCCTCAGGCCACCTATCCTTCTGACCAAATGATTGTTAATTCTGAGGCTTCCATGACCCCTTCAGGTTTAACAGTTTACTGAAATGACTCTCAGAACTCAGGAAGGTGCTATACTGACAATTTGTTTCTTATAAAAGATGCAATTCCGGACCAGCCAAATGAAGAGATAATGAGCAAGTGATAGATATTTCTAAGCAGAATTGTGACAATGATTAGTACATGTCTTTAAGAAGCTAGTTGGTTGGAGTATGGAAGTTGGATCAGTCTGATTGACTGGTGGCATATCTCCAAGTAGGTAGAATATAAGTGAGATAATAAGGTACCATCAAGGAGCATCAAAAGAGGGGCTCTATAGCAGAGATATTTAATAAAAAAGAATCAGAGATTCAAGATGATGCACTGATTTGAGGATACTACTGAGATTTCTGGCTTGGAAACTGCTTGACCTCACATTATTGTGCAAGTTTGTTCTAAAAAGAGATTTATGCATAGGTCAGAAGAAAACATCTGTTTCACTTATACATATATATATGTATGTATATATATATTATATGCAAAATTAAACACTTGTATTATACATTTTAAAAATATACTTAGAGGGGTGCCTGAGTGGCTCAGTCGGTTAACGTCTAACTTCAGCTCAGGTCATAATCTCATGGTTTGTGGGTTTGAGCCCTGCATCGGGCTCTGTGCTGACAGCTAGCTCAGAGCCTGGAGGCTGCTTCAGATTCTGTGTCTCCCTCTCTCTCTGACCCTCCCCTGCTCACTCCCTGTCTGTCTCTCTGTCTCTCTCTCTCTCTCAGAAATAAATAAAAAACATTAAAAAAATTAAAAATACACTTAGATAACAAAGTACACTTAGATACAATACACTAAGTGTGTAAAAATACATTTCATTAGCCTACCAAAAGAGTTACACTTTTGCTATTGAAAAAGCCATCACGTGACAATACGTATGTGACTTTCCCCCCACGTGATCACAACACTACCAAAGGAGCCTCTTATCATTCTGCTTTGTGTTCTAAGGTATTTAGCTTCTCCCTTTTGCCAGCTTCTGCAAAGGGTCAGGCTTTATGGGTGAAAGGAAATTATATACTAAACATAAGTGACTAATGGAAGCATAGTACAATCATTTTTTGAGCAGGACCACCACTCTTTTTAGCTGCTTATAGAACACTTATGAAAGTGTTCTGCTGGAAATGCAATGGTGTTGTTTCTTCTCAGAATTATTTTGGCAACACCAACGCCGCATTGCAAAAGATGTAAAAAAGGGAATTCTTCATCGACGAAAAGGAAAATCTAAGATTTGAATTATTTTTGAAAGATAATTTGAGCATTGGAAGGAAAGTTTTATTTTTCAAAACTGTTAAGAACATAAATAACACCCTTAGCATATAACAGCTGCATGTCCCCATGCTGAGAGTGAATGCGTTATGCCGCTTTGGAGTGCAAATGCACATTTATCTGAGATCAGTCCAAAAACTGAGACAGTTCCAAGAGTCAGACAGCTGGCAAGAGCCCTGGGAGAAAGGGTAAGGTTTCCTTTGGAAGTTAACTGATAACAAATTGGTGGTGATGGTGGGGATACTTAGCATTAATAGGCATGAAAATATGTTATCATACTTGCACTTTCACCAGCTAAAGATATGAATGTAGGTGTGAATCAAATCAATGCTCTGTGCTCATTTCATTTCACGATACCTTGACTGTATGTAAGGGAAAGAGAGAGAGTAAGTAACGGGAGCATTTTAACTCAAAAATCGATAATTAAAAAATTTGTGTTGAAGGAAATCATTATAACTGGAACTGTGTTTTCAGATGTCTTTTTAAAGGCTTTGTTTGTTCCTGAGATTTAAGCTACATTGTAAGAAAAAAAAGGCTCTCCTTCAGAGGCTTCAATTCAAGTTTCCCCTAGGGAGATGGCATCCAGGATATAGAACAGATAAAGCTGCATCATTTCCTGCCTTGTGCCTTCCTACCTTTTTATCCTAAGTCTTGATAATACCATGTACTGTATTGATTACTTATTCTCTTGAAATATTTTATTCCAGGACCTTAGATTGAAGCAATGTAGAGAAAATGGAATTTCACCAGTTCAATTTTGGGTTTGATAGTATTAAATCCTCTAAAAGTCCTTTTTAATAATTTATATTACATTTGAAAGCACTGCCTGTTTCTACTATGAAACCATATTTTAATGTTAACTAAAATAGACACATATAAAGGAAAATTAAGCTTTCCTTCCATGGTTTGATCTAATCCTACAGTATACAAAAATCTGATTACTGGTTTGATTGTTTGAGAAAAGTTCATATATATTCATAATTTTAGACCTATTTTTGTATGTGTTAAATATTTTCATATGTTTGGAATTTGATGCTAGACAAATAATCATCACTTACAGCACATTAGACATTAGAAAAACTGTATGAACTACAGACGTCAGACTTCCTATTTAAAGCCAAAAATTGAACAAGATCATTTCTCTATCTTTGGATTTTAGTATTCAATTTTAATGTTTATTCCACATCAGAATTTTATGACTTAAGTTCCTTGAGTTTCCCCCAAAGACTTCAATGCACCTTACTATTGTGCCTTTGCTTATGTTTTTATTCACCTTACAGAATAGCCTTCCCTTCTAGTAAAATTCTAACATGTTCTAGATCAAACATCAGCTATTCATTGCAGGATTCCCTTTCACCAGCCTTATCTCCCTCTTTTCATTCAACAACCAAAAATTTTGTGTTTGCTTTTTGAGAAGGAAAAGGAACTAATGCACTTGTAGTAAAGTACTTGGTTCTCTGATGTATGCTATCATTCCTATAATATATTCGAGGCTCCCAAAGTTTCATGTGTTAGGTAACTAGTCTATGCTGATGCAGAGAGAACATAATGAAGCCTAAATGTGAGTTGACAGAAAATTGGGCAAGTCTATACTCTTCCTATCTTCAAGAAGAAGGTAATTTTAATT